GGAGCTCCAGAAGATGCCAGGATGCAACATTCAGCTCACTGTGAAGGAAAAGCTTTTATTCAGATCACATTATAAACTAGGAGCACTGAAGCCAATGTGATTTATAGGCTGAAATGGGAGTTGAATTAAAATTCCAAGTTTGAAAGTTTGTTATTGAAATTTTGCTGTGCTTACTTTTCTTGCTCATTTCCTCCAATAGCTCCAAACCATGCTTTTTGTGGTCGGCTGAGATAAAAGACAGGATTGTAGCCCCATAGATGAAAACGGTGGTTTCCTAATCCACTGTTGACTGAGATACTGAATTAAGGCAGTGCTAGGACAGTTTTCCAAAAGAAAGAAAGAATCATCTGAAAAATGAAATACCAAGATTATTATGTATTTTCATATGGTTACCTCTCCCTTTCCTCACCATAAAAACCCACAATGATGTGGACCAATTTCCCTAAACGCTGTGGAAAAGTTAGTAGTGACGTTAAAATCTAACTTGCTTTTAATTGAAAAAATATAACGAATATTTTTTTCCTGTCATTATTTTAGAAATCTCATGGAATGAGAAAATGAACAAACACTAGATGAGATCATAACCTGAAAATCCTCCCTTAAAATTATCTGAAATATGGCCAGGAAATAAAATAAGAATAAAAAACTGGGACTTAACAAAGCAACAGCAGTCTAAGAGAATACATATAGAAGAAAAAAAGGACACTGCCAAAAGGCAGCTAAGTAGAAGGGAACCTAAGAAAGAACACAGGGCACCCTTCTTTCCTTTAATTATTTGATTAATGAACTCAGGATCCACCAGAGAGGGCCAAATCAACCTTGGTTTTGGAACTGTAGGCTATGAGAACTCCCACAGCCTCCCCCTGGGGTCCCTGCCAAAATGCTGTGGAGATTTTCCAGCAGGTGTACAAAAAGTAATTCCTTACTTCATCAGCATTCACATATTGATATTATGATAAAATACATAGGGACATTTAACAGAGCTCCTGACATCTCAGTAAACACGACAACAAAAGGTCAGATACCTGTATTCACTTCAAATGTTTTCTATACAAATGCAGGCAAAAACATCACTGTTAAATGTGAAATAAATATATTGTAGAACAATCATGAAAGACCATACAAGTGCTGCCTGATTTACATAAAGAAAAGTGCTCCAATTGCTGAATATAATCCACTGCTCCAGAAATTTGGGCCTGTTTACACAGACACAGAGCCACTTCCCTATGTGCACAAGACTGACCATACATGACCTGAGCCAAAGCCAGGCATTTTGACTTGTTGCTTGGTTCCACTTTCCCATAGTCATAAATGGTATCTACCTCAGAAAAGGTTAACCTGAAGGAGACAAGGTAATAAAGCAAACAAGCATTATTAACGTGTTCCTTAACTTTGTGTCGTGGTTTAACCCCAGCCAGCACCTAAGCACTATGCAGCCATGCGCTCACTCCCCACCAGGTAGGATGGGGGAGAATCTGAAGGGTAAAAATAAGAAAACTCATGGGTTGAGATAAGAATAGTTTAATAATTGAAATAAAATAAAACAAAACAATAATAATAAATTGTAATAAAAAGGAAAATAACAAAAAGAGAGAGAAATAAAACCCAAGAAAAACAAGTGATGCAAATTAAAAACAATTGCTCACCACCAACCGACGCCCAGCCAGTTCCCAAGCAGCAGCCCCCCAGCCAGCTTTCCCCCCAGTTTATATACTGGGCATGACATCATACGGTATGGAATATCCCCTTGGTCAGCTGGGGTCAGCTGTCCCAGCTGTGTCCCCTCCCAGTTTGTTGTGCCCCCCAGCCTCCTCACTGGTGGGGTGAGAGGCAGAAAAGTCCTTGACTTAAGGTAAGCACTGCTCAGCAACAGCTAAAACATCAGTGTGCTACCAACATTATTATCATCCTAAATCCAAAACACAGCACTGTACCAGCTACTAGGAAGAAAATTAACTCTATCCCAGCTGAAACCAGGACACTTTGGAATATGTCAAGACAAGCTACAATAAGTGCATTGTGTAGATGGGCACATTTCTGCATGTGTAAGCATTAAACTATACCCCTTTCAGCTCCTCTGCCCCTCCTGCAGCCTTAATTCTCTATATTTGAGCAAGTAGCCTCTTCCTTCTTTTCTTTAATCTCCTAACTGCAGCAGAGAGTGCTCTAAGAGCACTGAAAGCAACAGAAAGCAAAGGGACATTTCTTTCAGGGTTTACTGCAATTCCTGTCCCTGGCAGTTGGGAGGACCAGCTGCAGCCTTACAGTCGTCCTGGACCCAGGAGATTCAAGGCTGGTTTCAGAAAGAAGCAAACGCTTGTGTTGTTCCCAAGCGATGATGGAGCAGAGCAGTCGCTGCTGTGTGTTCTGCAGCACAGCCTGTGGAAACAGGTCTACTCAGTACTGGGAGTATTTGTAATTTTTGTTCTCAGTCTCACAATAAACTCAGAGGAACATGTCAAAAAAAGTGAGTTTTAGAAGCCTAGTCAGATTTCCAGAGATTCTTAGAAGAACAGAAAACGGCAAGACCCTGAGCCATTTAGCTTGCTATTCAACTTCACGTTTTCTCCAAAGAAGACTGGAAGAACGACTGGAGAAAATTTTGTCATATTAACAAAACCAAGCTATTTTGTAGTATGACTCTCAGAAAGTAGCTCAGCTGGCTTTAACACTTTCCTAAGAAATTCTACCTAAGGAGACAGGAATGGGAAATAGATAAAATTTTGCCACACTTCTAGTGACACAATTGTGTGCCAATTATTATATAATAATAGTGCGGCAAAACAGTGTGGCAATGACAGGGATTTACACTGTCAAGTGTTACCTAACCTGCCTGCTATAGGTGTTGCTGCTGGTTTTGTCTATAACCTAAGTGGATTAGGATTTATTTATTTATTTTTAGTATTTGCAAAAGACTGTTTTAAAATCAGTACAGAACTTTATAGTTTTGGAGTAGGAGGTAAAACTCCTATTTACCTATACAAACAAGGCATCATTAGGGTTCAGTAACAGACACTTTTTCAACAGGCTTCTCCAGCAAGCAATTAAAAGTGATTTGCAGATCCCTGACTACTGTAAACATCTGTAATACTTGAAACTAGAAACCAAGTTGCCTTTCACTCTTCTGCCCTAGAGGAACTAAGCTGCTGTCTCCTAACATTGCATTTAGTAATATTTTACGATTCCCCAGATGGTCATAAAGCATGGCTTGAGAAACACTGTTTCAGTGTGATGATGTAACTAGCTAGGTCTTATTACTATAAGAACAATGCTGATTTCAGTATGTCAAAAGAGCAGGCTGTAACAACTTTTTTCCATTAGTAGGATAGGTTATGGGTTAGGACTGAAACAAAGAAGTGGTATTTTGATCCTGACACAAGGAAGTTTAGAATCTCAATTTAAAACTAAAATATGGGCTATCGTTAAAGAATGCTGCTGCTCTTCACAGGAGTCTTTCAGCAGAGAGGCACCCATTACAGTTAATTTAATACCAGACTGTTCTAGCAGGATTTTCACCATTTCAAACAAATCTACACTGGATTAGGAAAAACGTATCTCTAACAGCTTAATGGCTTCTCCAAATCAAAAATGCACAAACAGATGCATTTCTAGAAATTCAAATACGACTGTATCCTATCCCCATAAATGGAAAAAACAGGTCAAGTGCACATATAGCGTTTACAGTTTAAGCATGTTTTTAGTGTAATTGTGTTTGAAATTGTGAATTGGGTACTGACGTCAACAATAAAATGAAAGAAATTCATATCCTAGTAATTACGGGTTTTTAATCCACAGAAGGCTGTGAAAATCTTGTATCTGCATAGTTTTTAAGTACAACGTAAGAGAAAAGAATTTCAAACAAAACTGGAGCCTACAATGCTGTAAGAAAGGCTGAGAGTAAATGAAACAAAATGCATCTTTGAGAAGGCGCTGTTGATATTGCCTGTTTGGTCCACGCTTGTATCGAATTTTGGATTTAATAAAAGACAAAAAAGAAGACATCCATTAATGTATTTTTGGTTGTGTTTCGTTTGAAAGCATTTACTTTCAAGAAAAGGCAAAGCCTCATGGCTTGGGAAATAACGAAGGATGGCATACCCCTCCGTGAATCTCCATGCAGAAGAACCACATACCTTTGCTGTTTAACCCAGTGTGTTACTAGATTTAACTGCTTTTCAGACAATGCACATTTGATTGTTTCCAGAGTTATGGCTGAATTTGGAAGGTGTCCAGCTGCAGTACTTGAGTTTATCAGAGTGTCAAAATACTTAAAGGAAGAAATCTCCCTTTACTGAAGGCAGCTAACAGCTAAAGGGATGAAAACAAAAGTCATTGGCCAAGCACCCAGAAAAGTATCTTTCACTATTTAAGACCTCTTAAGTTTTAGACTTTGTTTGTTGATACCCACCAAATGCCTGTGACAAAATCCTTATTAAATCTTTTGTAAAGTTGAGTAATATCAGATGTTTTGTTAATTACTCCAAATGAAGGCTGCTCAAAACTGAAGGCAGAGAGTTCATGACAGTATTTTACCATTGACAGGTAATAGGTAAATCTCAGGGGGGTTGTGGGGTCTTTAAAACACAGTTTTTCCAAGTGAGAGTACAGAAAATATAACATCTGATGCTAAGACTACAGATTTTGTAATTTTGTAATTCAGATCCTGAATACCGGCTTATCACAGTTTTTCCTCAGTTATTGCCTTTAACACTTGAACAAAAGCCAATAAAATATGCAGAGAAAAAAAAATACTGATCTTGTACAGTTCAGCAATGCCCCTATGGCTCCTTTCAAAGGAACGACAAAATACTCCAACTGTTTCAGTCTCTGACATCATCAATATTACTGAATTTTGTGTTTCCAAATGCAAACAAAAACATTGAGAGGGAGATGAAATTATAAAGACTATTTTGCATTTATCTGGGATATTTAAAAACATCAATAGTTTTCATATACCTTAGATTTCAGAACGTAATTTTAATGAATCTAATTAGAATATTGCTTTATGACTCAAAAGACTAAGCTTGAGTAGTTAACACACATAACAGTAAGGACTGGACTTTCAAACTAGCAGGTAGACCTTTGCTCTTGCATAATGCACATAATTTATCAGTAGAAATAAAACAGTTTCAGCACTACGTTATGAACAGCTTTATACTAGACCTCAAGGTCACTGCTTAACCCAAGCCCTCACCAACAGGAAGAAAAGCAGTGGTTGCGAGTTAGCTGTCTCCCTTTCTGCCTCCTAGGGCATGTCCTTAACATACAACAAAGGAGGAAAAAAAAAAAGCCTTACAGCTTTTCTTATCTTCAGTTTGGAATATTAAGCATAAACTTCAAACCCATACAAACAATTCTCATTTGGTAAATCCCAAATTCTTGAGCAGTGAAATGACTAGACTGACATCAACTAAAATCCTGTAAGAATGGACCCAATTATCAAGTTTGTACACTTAAGATACTTCAGAGCTTCTTCATTACAGAGAATTCCCTTAGGAGAGTTTACGGCATAAGTTGCTGCAGCATCATACTGACGACTTTCAAGTAACTCACTGAAACTAGGAAAGAGGAAGGAAAAAAACATATAGGACATGATATGCTATACAAACACTAAATACACACATAGACACTACATAAAGTGGTTGGCTGATGGCATGGCAATCTACCCAAAAAGCCCAAACACAGAGAATACACAGCTTTAAAACACACATATTTAAACCTAGTATACCTTCATCACACCATTTTCCAGTATGAAGCAGCAATTTTGTTTCCACACATCCAGTTACCTCTCTTCTGTCTCATTACCAATGCTTCTGACAGTCTCCATAACAAAAACTTTAAGAAACCTAAGAAGGAGTTACCTATGAGCAACTGGAAAGAGAAATGAACTATATTTTAATATAAGTCTTGTAAAAGATTTTGATTTGGGAAGGACTAATCCAATTAATCGATGGCCAGAAATAGGAGAGAGTTATTTCTGTGTAACAGTTACACAGCAGGCTATACCAGATGAGTTGATGAATTAATTGCTATTTCTAATATCAAGGGATTATATTAGCAATGAGATCCAGGCACCTAGAAGTAGACAGTTGCATTACTGGGATTTTCAAAAGCATCTAATGTCCAATTTCCTCCAGGCATCTGGACACTTTTGAAAAACACTCCAGTTGTACATTTTCATCTGTATGCACAGAATACTTAATATTAGCTTGTCAGTTTTCACAACACCTGGAACAGCTGGTCTCTTCAATTTCAATTCCTTTAGAAAAAGGGCCAAAGAAGAACCTCTGAAAATGGATAAACAAGTGACTTAATGTGCATGGCTGCAACACCAGCACTTTTTACAAACACCAAAGGCATCACAAAAAGAACGTGTCCTGGAAGGACTGTATTCAATATGATGTATTAACTATGATACTGCAAACTGCTAATGTAGAACACAATAACCATATTCAAGTGAATTTTCAGCCATTTTACTAAGGGCATGTAGAGCTGAAATATAAAACATGGCAGTGTAGGATAATCGCACTACTATCTCAATAATGAAAGATTAGGAAAAAGTGTTAAAGCATTTAAAGCATTTAAAAAATAAAAAAACAACAAAACAACCAACCACAAACTTTATCAACTGATACATTTATATGAAAACACATTTTTTGAAATTGATAATATTTTCTTTTTTTTCTTTTTTTTAAGAACTGAAACAGTCTCCTTAAGCAGATGATTGTTTAGGAAACACCTTTTACAGGATCAGTTAAACTCTGTTTTCTCACCAGTGCCCTCAGATAGGAATAAAAGAGCAATAAAAGACCAAACTCTTCATCCACTATTGCTGATTGTCTCGTCTCATACTCTCATTCTCAATTGTTCTACATACATGCAGCTACATAACAATATTTCCTCAATATAAGATGGTAAATGAGAAAGAGCAATTCACTCACTTTTCTGTATTTCTCAATCTCAGACAATGCATTTTAGCAATACAATAGCCTTGCTTTCAGAGTATACTGTTTTTACAGGTGGAGAGAAACTGTGTCTGTTTAACCTCCAAGACTGATGCTCCAGTTCTTCTGCAAGCAAAGCCTTTGCTGATTACACCTCAAGTTTGACTGCACAAGAATCAGCACCAGGATGTGAAGAGCAGAAATCTGACACTACATGTTAGCAAAGTTTTAAACAATCATTGGCAGCTTCCATATAAAAATCAAACAAGAATTGAAACACCTAAAAAATATAAATGAGAGAAACCAGTGACAACAAAATTACTAATGTCCTAATTAAAAATATTTTGCTTTAAACATTTTTAGAGATAATTTACTTGTCTTCAAGCTCCATTGCTCTTTTCCTACAGTGTAACAGAGTTGTGGACTCAGACTCCAGAGCTTTTAACCTCCTGTGAAGAAAAAAATGCATTCCTTTGGCCATTCTTGATTCTGGCAATGAACACCTCATATTCCTGTTTGATTGAGGTCAGGATATTCTTGTATGCAGTAACGTACTCTATTACCTGTGAATGTGTTGTTGGACACAATATTTATATGGAGAGAATGAAGAGAAAAACAACTTTCTGCAACTTTCTACTAAGCATGATAGGTTTAAAATAAAATGAATAGACAAAATAATACTCCTTAGAGAAAGCTCCATAGCGCTGCTCTAATATAACAAAAAACAGCCCCAAAAGCAAGTAATATTGTTCAAGATGATGAAAATACAGAAAAACTTTACATTGTGAAAGACAGCCTCTAAACTTACCTCAGACTCGATAGTCACAAATGTTATTAAAAACTAAGGCAGTCAGCACTTATTTGGACAGCTGCAGCAACCATTTCCATTAATAAAAGATATTTTCTCTAATGGGCACTAAATGTCCTTAGAATTTACAGGTATGGAAAGCCAAATGAGCAGGGGCTGTGCATTTTAATGTCTTAAAACAGCAGTCCAACTCAAGATTTCAAAGGAGACCCAGTAACCTTTCTTCCTACCCACCTCAAAAACTAAGAATCTTTATTTATTCTTGGCATCTCCCATCTTAGTCAGTGTCTGGAAATGGCAGACACAATCAGGCAGGGAGGAGTCCTTCAGGAATTTCAGCAAGATTCTTTCAGCCAAATTGAAGAGCTGTTTACACTAATACAGGGCATATAGGATATACATCATGGGTCTTTTCAGTTATGTAGGTCTTCTCCTGTTTTAGAACACCTTTATAATGCTTTATAATTTCAAAACTGCCATAAAGTTAAGAAAAGTGGTTATCAAGCACGAACCCTATTGTAACTTCTGGTAGTATGACTTCCTCATAGTGGCTTCTGTTTGACTGCAGTGTATACAGCGGGACAAAAAACAGGTGAAAATATACCAATCCTTGATTTCTGTAACACCACCAACAGGTCACAATCAGTCTGCTTATACACGTTTTCCCCAGAAGACAAAGAAGTAGCAAATCACTTTTTACTTATTAATTATTGTTCACTGCTCATTTATGGTTGGAGTCAACAGTCCTTTCCAACCTAAACAATTCTATGATTCTATGTTTTACCTGAAAAACATGTTACCTCGTCAAATGCATTACTGTATATAATGCAACACTCCGCAGATGGTCCTTGCTCAGCAGAACCCGCTTTCCCAGTTTCTGTCAGTATGTGTGTTCATACACTCTCCATAAATCTCCTGTCCTTCTCAAAAAGGGCGGGAAGGCGCACAGAATGTTTTCCTGCTCCCAGTGATGGTTTGGCATAGCAACCTAACATCTTTCTTATGTCTAAACGTCTTTCCTCCTTTGTTCAACAAGTGCCTCAGATCAAAACCTAGAAGAAGAGTCAAAATTGTTAAGATAGCATCAGCTGGTAGTCATGTATCCAAGCAAGTTTCCATTCTGCTTTAATCCTTCCCATATTCAATTCATAAGCATAAAACCACCTAACAAGCAATTTCCAAATTAATGGGGCTCTCAGTATTCCTCGATTCCTAACCTACCTATAGCTTTTCTAATTCTAAAAATATTTGCCCTACAAACCTAGATAAATTTGTCATTGATCTTGGAGAATCTGCAGGCGGCAAGGCGGCCGTCAGACGTTTTCAAAACTGCCTCCAGAGGGCTGGACCGAGGCGAGGACACCGACTTCTGGGACTTCACGCTACACCACAGACCTGTGGAGACACAGCTACCTGAAAAACCCGCAATCCCCAAACCAACAGCCACCACCAAAACCCGCTATAGTGCACACAACGCTGCTCTGCAAAGACGACCCCGCCCTGGCAGCCTCGGCGCAGACGCCCTGAGGCAG